GGCTGGAGGCGGGCAGTGTGCCCAGGGGCCCGGTCAGCGCTCGCCTGGCCTCCTCCCGGGCCCACGAACTGGTCCTCCTGGAGTCGGCTGTGCTGGGGATGGGACGAGAGGGAGGGCTGGTAGGAGGTGGCAGAGAAAGGGCTGCTGAGGGCTCCCGAGGACAGGCCAGTGCCAGTGCACGGTGGCTCAAGGCTAAGGCCTTTCTGTGAGGTGTCCCCTCTGCACCTGTTTGCCACAGCCCATGTGCCCGGCCACATCTCTAGTATGAACCCCCACCCCGACTCCGTGCAGAGCAAGGCCTGTGAAGGAAAACTGGTGAGCACTCTGAGAGGCTTCTGGAGGCACGTCCCTTCCAGAGATCTCCGAGCCCACCCGGTCATCCTCACAGGCCCTAGAGCCTGCTTTTCAGGCTTGGGGTCTCCATCTGGAGAGCTGTCAACCAAGGGGTGCCATCCAGAAGAGGCAGAACTGGAAGTGACAAGAAGAGCTGAGCAGGCCCTGGAGGGACACCCTCACCCTCAAGTTTCCTAGGACTGATCTGACATTAGAGGTCCCCAAAGGTTCCCTGTGTGGAGACCCCACAAGCCTGAGCTGAGGCTGTGGACTCCCCTCCAGCACTCCTAACCCCATCCAATATTCTCCACTCACGGAGAGAAGGTTGTCAGGAACTGATGGCCTATTCTTTTTTTCATTTTCTTTTGGAGAGATTTTTTGCTATAGGGCTCGTGCATTCATCAGAAAGACAGAGACAGAGAGACAGAAAGTGAGAAATCACCCCCCAGGGAGATGGCCACTCCACAATCTCCATTCTCCTCTCAGGATCTTGGGCGCTCACGCACATGCACCCGGCATGAGTTTAAGCCACCAGGTCCGAGACTCGAACCACGGTCGACTACATGGGAGTCCAGCAACATAGCTATTATGCCAACTGCTGGTCCCATGATGGTCTATTCTTGAGAGCCATGAACAGAGTAACCCACTAACTCACTCTCGTTGTGCAGCTCAACTGGATTTAATTAAAAAGTAAATAAACAAAACTTTCCAAAAATATCTTTTAGTTTTTCTGAGTTTTCTGGTTCTCTCCCTTCTAATCCTTTGGTGATTTTTTTCCAAAGGAGACTTCTCCTCAGCTGTATTAAAGGATCTAAAAATCAAATAATGAGATAAGTGACTGATTTCCCCGACTACTGACTGACCACGAACAAGCATATATTTATGCATGGCAAAAATGCCCAGCAGGGAAAGGGTCCTGGCAGGGAGGAACTATAACTGTTTGCTTTAAAAACATTTTTTTTTTCCAACTGTATTCATTCATTTCTTCTGAGAAAGAGAGGGGAAAAAGAGAGAGAGAGACAAAGCACCTCCAACAATCAGTCTTCATGACGCAACCCTCCCCCAGTCTCAGCTGGCCTGAATCATAGACACACGTGTGCATTCATGTACTCAGGGAGGTCCCAGGATGCAAACCCAGAATCTCTCCTGTAGGAATCCTGCTGTGTCGCTATCTGTGCCACTGTCTAGCCCAGGATCTGTAGTTGAATTTCCACTCGAGGGTGTCACCTATTTCAATGTGCGTTTTACAAATAAGGAGTCGCGTTAAGACTGATACCCTGAGGAGTCACATTGGAGGAGGCAAAGGAAAATGAGATTTCCCAGTACACTTACCAAATATCCTTCCATATTTGAACCAGGTGGAGGGACCAGCAGTTAGCGTAATGGCTATGTCACTGGACTCCCACGTAGTCGACTGCGGTTCAAGTCCCAGATCCGGTGGCTTAAACTCACCCCGGGCGCATGTGTGTGTGTACTCAAGATCACAAGAGGAGCATGGAGGAGAAGGGATTGTGGCATGGCCATCCCCTCTGGGGGGTGATTTCTCGCTTTCTATCTCTCTGTCTCTCTCTGGCTGGCTGGCGAGCGCATGTGCCCTATAGCAAAAAAAAAAAAAAAACCTCTCTATATTTGAACCAGGTAGAAAATGTAAATAAATGCTTTACAGGGACCAGCAGATGGCGGAATGGTTATGTCACTGAACTCCCACATAGTAGACCACGGTTTGAGTCCTGAAACTGGTAGCTTAAAACACACCAAGCGCGTGTGTGTGTGTGTCTAAAATCCTGAGAGGAGAATAGAGGAGGAGAGGTTGTGGTGTGACCATCCTCCCTTGGGGGGTGTGTAATTTTTTTGCTTTCTGTCTGTCTGTCTCTCTGATGAGTGCATGTGCCTTATAGTAAAAATCTCTCTCAAAAGAAAGAAAGAAAGAAGAGCTTTACACTCTTAAAACTTAACTGTTGGGTTGTCAGAAAAGTCATGTATTTTTCTGTTTCTCAATGCAAAAATGCATCGTGGCTTTTCTGAAAATACAGTATATGTGAAGCTCCATGTTGCACATTTCCCAATCTATTCACCCAGTGCCAACCATCGTGAACCCACATGACTGGGGATGATGGAGAAAACCAAGAACCTTGGGCTGATTGGAAACAATTACCTCCCTTGCACAACAGTGCAAAGTTATCAAACAGAGACCTGTCTTTTTTTTTTTTTTTTAGAGGTTTTTGCTATAGGGTGCGTGCGCTCACCAGATAGACAGAGAGAGACAGAGAGATAGAAAGCGAGAAATCACCCCCCAGGGGGGATGGCCGTGCAGCAAGTCTTTCTCCTCTATTCTCCTCTCGGGATCTTGGGCACGCATGCACACGCGCCCGGCGTGAGTTTTAACCACCGGGTCCGGGACGCGAACCGCAGTCGACTACGTGGGAGTCCAGCGACATAGCCATTATGCTAACTGCTGGTCCCTAGACCTGTCTTTATTTTAACTTGTGATATTTTGTCCATCAGGGATTTTTTTTTTGGGGGGGTGCATTTATTTGAATTTTTAATGTTGCATTAAAATCTGACTTATCAGGACCAGCAATTGGCGTAATGGCTATGTCGCTGGACTGCCATATAGTCAACTGCAGTTCGAGTCTCGAACCTGGTGGCTTAAACTCACGCCGGGCGCGCGTGCGTGCGTGCCCAAGATCCCGAGAGGAGAATGGAGGAGAGTGGATTGCAGCCCCCCAGAGGGTGATGTCTCGCTTTCTGTCTCTCTGTCTTTCTCTGTCTTTCTGGCGTGTGCACACGCCCTGTAGCAAAAACCTCTCCAAAAAAATCTGACTTTTCTTTCTTTTTTTTTTTTAAGAATTATTTTATTTAACTTTATTTATTTATTTTTAATTTGAGCAGAGAGGGACATAGTGAGATGGGGAGAGTGAGAAAGAGCAAGCCACCGGGTCCAGGACTCAAACCATGGTCGGCCAGCGCTCCTAACCACCATGCCACCTGCTAGCCCCAATAATCTGATTTATCTTTCAAGTTTTGTGCCCTAGGTGAACACCTCACTCACTGACCCTCCTCCCAGCCCATGCTGATTGAGACCTTGGCTATCTGACAGCTCATTCCCTGCTTGGTCTCATGGTGGTCTAGAGCCCTCTAGAGGCTGCTGCTCCAGGCAGGCGCCTTCCTGGGGGTCCCTGCATATCTTGGCCCAGTCCTCACCCCCATATCCTTCGTACCACTTCTGGAAATGTTCCTGGTAGCCCTGAGTCTGCCATAGTACTTACTCCACCTTGGCTGCAGTCACCAGAGTCCCTCCACCTCTGCAAGCTTTTAGTCCACACTCCACATCCGCTTGAGGTTTCTACCCATGGCAACCCAAAACTTCCGAGTGGTGGATTAAGTCCTGGGAACATGCAAATAGTAGACCTGGAATGTGCAGAGTGTCTGGGGCAGGGGAGGAGTGAGACATAAGAGCCCAGACATGGCAGCAGGGTCCTCCTGGCAGGAAGCTCCCTGCCTGATTAGGAGGAAGCAGAGCTGCTGGTGAGCTCACATGCATCTCATGAGACACAGGCTGGGCCAGTGAGGCCTTCAGCAGCCTGGTCTCCCGGCAAGGAGCAGAGGAGAGGGAAGGGTCACAGAGGCATGCCATATAAAACAAGGTCACTGCCATCGCCCGTTCAGCAGCTGCACACCCCAAGCCCCCACATGAGATGCAGGAAGCCAACACCACAGCAGAGTCCCCCACATCCTCCTCCGCCATTCACCCACACGAGGATGCAAACCCCAGCCCTCGCTTAGCCACCTATTTAATTAAGACGTCCCTAATTGAATGGTAACCATCTTTCTAGATCTTAACCAGCTAGGTCAAAGGCCAAAAGTGGCTTTGGCATTTTAAACCAAGACAGTTTTGTGACCACCTGGTCCAGGTTTATCACAGGTGCCTTCCTGGAGGGCAAACTGACATTACTGAAACGGAACTGCAGCGCAGACACCTCTCACCCCCACAGTCTGCACCTCCTGGTTGTGTGCACATTACCCTCGTCCATAACTGTTACTCCTAACGGCTCAGGATCACTGAATCCTAATGGCTAGTCCTCACACTGTATCTCAAACCTGCCCATTCCTCTCCATCAGCCCAGCCACCCTCCTGCCTCAGGCCACCATCTCCTCCATCCTAGACCTCTGCAGAAGGCTCCTGTGTGGGCCCCTGCCTTCTGATTCATTGCTCACATCTTTAACATGCAAATTGGACCACACACCCTGCAGAAGAAAATACTCCAGAACAGACTGACTTTCTTTCTTTTTTGGAGAGGTTTTATGTTTTTTTGTTTGTTTGTTTGTTTGTTTGTTTTGCTATAGGGCGAGTGCGCCGCCAGACAGACAGAGAGAGACAGAGAGATAGAAAGAGAGAAATCACCCCCCAGAGGGGATGACCACGCTGCAATCCCTTCTCCTCCATTTTCCACTTAGGATCCTGGGCATGCACGCACATGCGCCCTGTGTGAGTTCAAACCACTGGTTCCAGGACTCGAATCGCAGTTGACTACATGGGAGTCCAGTGACAGCCATTACACCAACTGCTGGTCCCTTGGAGAGGTTTTTGCTATAGGGCACGTGCACTCACCAGAAAGGCAGAGAGAGACAGAGAGAGAGAAAGTGAGAAATCACCCCCCAGGGTGGATGGCCATGCCACAATCCCTTCTCCTCCATTCTCTTCTCAGTATTTTGGGCACGCGTGCACACGTGCCTGGCATGAGTTTAAGCCACCGGGTCTGGAACTCGAACTGCAGTCGATTGCATGGGAGTCCAGCAATGTAGCCATTATGCTAACTGCTGATCACTTGACTTTCTTTTTTTTAGCCTGAGCTCTGTGATCCGGTGGGACTTGCCCTGACAACCATGCCTCCAAGGTCACCGCATCACTAACATCACCTTACAATCTTTCTATTCTTCCCAGAACTAATTTCTACCCTTCTGCTGTTGTGCCAGAAAAACAGCCAAGCCACAGCCAGAAGTACACAGAGGAATGTCCTCAACCCTGTGCTCAGCCCCTGTAGCACGTGGACACGCCAACGGACGCCCAGGCCTCCAGGGTGCTTTGGAGAACACCACGCATGCCCAGCTGCTCACCAGCAGTGGTGGTCCTGTCTGTGTCTGTTTTTTGTTTTTTTTTTTTTCCCTTTTTTTGGAGAAGTTTTTGCTATAGGGCGTGTGCTCTCACCAGAAAGACAGAGAGAAACAGAGACAGAAAGCAAGAAATCCCCCCCCCCCAGGGGGGATGGCCACACCACAATCCCTTCTCCTCTTTTCTCCTCTCGGGATCTTGGGCACACATGCGCACACGCCCGGCGTGAGTTTAAGCCGCTGGGTCTGGGACTTGAACCGTGGTCGACTACGTGGAAGTCCAGCGACATAGCCATTATTCTAACTGCTGGTGCCACCTGTCTGTGTCTATTAAGCAGTCTCTCCTTGGGCAGAAACCATCTTTGGATACTTTATTAAGGTCTTTTCTGGAACCTCAGCATAGATACTTCACAGGATGGTGTTTTTTTCTAAAAGGGTATTTTTCCTTTCATACTTCTTTAAAAATATTTTTTTTTTAAATTTGCTATTGGGCATATGCACTCATCAGAGAAAGAGAAAGAGAATGAGAGAGAGAGGGGAAAAGTGAGAAAGCAAACTTCCAGGTCCAGAACTCGAACTGCAGTCAGCCATGTGGGAGTCCAGCGCTCCAACTACCATGCCACCTGCTGGACCCTCTCTGATAGTTTTAAATCTATGTTTCTCCAATGATGCTTTTAAATGTCAACCACTGAGGTAGAAATTAGCATGAAAATTTGTGGGCTGTGTGATTTCTCAATGGGAACTAATGTTGCACAAGTTTGAAGAATGATGGTAGAAACACAGGAGAGAGTAAGAAGAAAATGGTTTTAGAGAAAGGGAGCTAAGGTTTGTTTGAATTTGACATGTTAAAACATGGGGCCAGGAGATGGTGTAATTGTTATGGCGCTGGACTCCCACATAGGTGACTGTGGTTTGAATCCCAGACCCGGGACTTCAAAATCACACCAGGTATGTGTGCGTGCCTGCCTAAGATCCCTGGAGGAGAAGGGATTGCAGCATGGCTATCCCTTCTGGGAGGTGATTTGTCACTTTTCCTCTCACTGCCTGTCTTTCTCTCTCTAGCGAGTGCACATGTCTTAAGGCAAAAAAAAAAAGGAAGGAAAAACTTTAAAAAATTTTAAAACCATGAGGCCAGCAGGTGGAGTGGTGGTTAAGGTGCTGGACTTGCACATTGCCAAGCACAGTTCGAGTTCCAGATCTGGCAACTTGAAAATCAAACCAGGTGCATACCCAGAATCCCAAGAAGAGAATGGAGGAGAAGCGGTTTCAGCATGGTCACCCCCCTGGGGGTTGATTTCTCACATACTCTCTCCCCATCTCCCTTCTTTCTCCAGCGAATGCACGTGCCCTATGGCAAAATCCTAAAAACAAAAACAAAACTACAGTGAGATATCCCTTCACATCCATTAGGATCGTCATTAGGAAAAAAAAATACACAGAATATAGCGAGTGTTGGCAAGGATGTGGAGAAACCAGAACCTCACATGTTGCCGGTAGACAGGGAACCACTGTGGGAAACAGGATGGCGGCGCCTCCAAAAAATTGAAACTTGTAGCCAGGTGGTGGTGCAGTGGTAACACAACCAGACCCGCAAGGAAAGTCCTGGGTTCGAGTCCTGCAACCTCCCTGTGCCCACGGGCACACACGTGTGTCCCTGTGATGCAGACTGATTGAGACTGGGGGGTGAGTCACAGCAGGAGGACTCTGTTAGAGGTGCTTCTCGCTTTCTCTTTCTCTGAATAAATAAACTTTTTAAAAAATTAAAAGTATGGGCCAGCCTCTGACGTAGTGATTTAAGGGGACTGGTGTGGTTTTCAAGCCACTGGGTCCAGGACTCAAATCATAATCACCCATGTGGGAGTCCAGCACCTTAACTACCATGCCACTTGCTGGCCCCATGGTTTTGACATTTGTTTTAAAGAATTATTTATTTATTCATTCATTTTTAAAAAGAATTATTTATTTATTTAATTCCATTTTCTATGATTACTTTTTAAATTGACCACACAGAGACAGAGGAAGAGGGGAAAGGAAAGTAAGAAAGCAAGCCACCACGTCCAGGACTCGAACTGTGGTCAGTCATGTGGGAATACAACACCTTTATCCACCACACCATCTGCCAGCCCCATTCATTTATTTTAATTTGACCAGAGAGAGACACAAGGGAAAGTGAGAAAGCAAGCCACCAGGTCCAGGACTCGAACTGTGGTTGCCCATGTGGGAACGTCCAGCACCTTAACCACCACGTCACCTGCTGGCCCCTGGTTTTGAGATTTTCAATTCAAACAAACTTTAACTCCCTTTCTCTAAAACCATTTTCTTTCTTACTCTCTCTTTCCTGTCTTTCAACCATCTTTCTCCAAACTTGAAATGAACATTAACTCCCTTTCAGAAATCCCACAGCCCACAGGTTTTCACACTCATTTCTACGCACATGGCCAACCAACTTGAAAAAACACACCTGGCGTGTGTGTGTGAGCGCCCAAAATCCTGAAAGGAAGGAGAAGGGTAAGAGCAGGGATCGAGGTGTGACCATTTCTCATAAAGAAGTGCTTTCTCATTTCCCTCCCTCTCTATCTTTCTCCAGTGAGTGCAGTCTTGGGCAATTTTTTTTTTAATTAAAAATAGAATTACCTTATGATCCAGCAATTCCACTTCAAAGTATATATCCAAAAGAACTGAATGAAGGGATTTGAACAGACACTTGTTCATAGCTGAACGCAACCAAGTGTCCGCTGACAGATGAATAGTTACACAAAATTATGTTATATCCCTACAATGCAATATTATTTAGTCTTAAAAAGGAAGGATGGAAGTTCTGACACATGCTACAACACAAACGAAATTTGAGGACAGTGTACGTGGACTAGATTTTACTAGTCCTAAGACTGAGAAAATAGCCCAGAAAATGAGAATAATATACGAGAAATACTAGGCTGTCTGATTTCATTTTTTAAGAGGTTTTTTCTTCCTTTTTTTTTTGCCGTAGGGTGCATATGCTCATCAGGGAGAGACAGAGACAGGGGGGGGGAAAGGGAGA